GCATTTGAAAAAGTTATAATTCAATGTATTTAGTTGTTCAAACTATTGATGATCCTTGAATTATCTTAAGAGTACAATAATACGTGTTAAGATATATCTACTAAAGTACATGAAATAAACAAATATAAATATGAAAATACTTTTCAAGTATTATGCGTGCGTGCGTGCGTGCGTGCGTGCATGTGTGTGCACGTGTGTGTGTTTGAGCCCGTGCGCATACGATTACGTATGGATTGAAATTATCATTAATCTATTGAATATTCTATTGGAGTAATGTGTCTGTATATTCTATATTATTATGTATATTATGTTTAATCTATTATTTATTTAAGAATCAAAACTCTTCCGGAAATTCATGTTTTATTATAATTCAATCACAAAATTATCTGCCATGTTGAAACTATTTTCTAAAACTAGTATTATGATGTACCGATTAAAAATAATAATATTATGAAAAATAAAGCATTCGTAACCTTTAATTGCGACATGAAATATACATATCCGTTATTAACAATATTAAACATTTAAATACAATATTTGATTAAAATTATAATTTTATGAAATTACCATAGATCAATGTACATGCATTTAAATTAAAATTGTAGTATGTGCTAAAAGATTTTATGCAATAAATACACTACTGGTATTGTATTTATTTTCTTAATTACTTAAATTATATATGCAATAACATTCAACAATTTTAGAGAAATTCGAATTTATATCAATTTTCTTTCTATCAGAATTTAAACTTAATGAATTCAAAAGGATTGAAAATACTTCTATAGTGCTAATATTAAATGGATTCAAATATGCATATTCCATTCCGTAATTGTAATGGAAATCTATATCCTGCAGCTATGGTTTTATATCCTCTTATAAATCTAGACGAATAATTGCAATAAAATATCGTGACTGTTGCAAGTAACAAGGGAATTATCCGAATTACAGTTTAATTATACTTTTGCTTATTTTAATAATCCTTTGAGATAAGATTAGCGACAGGAACGGCTAAATAATTTTCATTAATGCGTTCTATAAAAAAAGAAGTATCGATAAATGGTGGACAATTAATTATATAATATAATACTTTATATATGATTTTGGTAGATGAATAACTTACATAACAATCACCATTAAATATTAAGATAAAAAAAATTATTATAGAGGGATTGCTAGATTATGTAATTATTTAACAAAAATTTTACAATAATACAATTTACCACTACTTTATTTTACAAACTATTAATTAAATATGTCTTTACCCTATAAATATGTTTATTTTGACTTAAATAAATTTAAGATATTTCAGGAAATCTTTTATAAATAAAAGATTTTTGCGTTTTTGACTTGTGAATGCATCATCAAAGCCATATATGCCTAGGGCGGATACAAGATTTCTTGACCTAAAGAAAAAATCTGCATGGCCCATGTGCTTGCCTTGTAAAAAATTATTACAAAAATATAAAAAACATGACCTCGTACATTGATGCACGTTGCCGCATTGTAGACTAAAAGTGAATTTCTTGGAATTAAAGTATATTGAATGTACTAGGATATAATAAAAATACAAATAAGAAAGTTTATATAGATTTCAATTGTAATTCATAAAATGTTCCATGAATAAAAGTTCATATATATATATATATATATATATATATATATGCATATGAATATATATTCTGCTTCTTTTATACTAAATATTCAATAGTTCGAAATAAAAATCTATCTATTGTTATAAATTTCTATTAAAGTTAATAATTTTCAAAGTATCAATCAATCATTATAATATTCAATTAGCATATATTTATATTTAAAATATAGGGAAACTGACTTTTTTTAACAAGAATAAAAATTCTTTAAATACTCATTTATTATGAATTTCAGATGAGAATATGAGAATATGAGTATATACTACGTATTTACTTTACTTTTGGATTTAAATAATTTTCATATATTAAATTTGTTTTTAAATATGAATTAAATTTTCAAAGATTCACACATTTAAACTTAGTGATAAAACACTGTTAAAAATTGTAATAAATGAAGTATTCTAAGATTTGTCATAAATAGATTAAAATTATATAATGACTAAATAAATGATGTTTGTAAAGAAAATAGAAATTCAGCTGGTAAATGTTAGTAAGAAAAGAAGGAATTCATACGTTTGAAAATATAGATCTGAATCATATGTCAAATAATTGAAATTGAAGGATAAACAGAAAAGTAAACAATTAAATGTTTTTAAGAATGTAAGAAAATAGATATATGCAATATATAGACAATATGAATCAATAAGAGATAATCGTGTTTGTGAAATCAATATATAAATAAATATATGTTTTAATAAAAATATAATGTATATATAAAAGATAAATTCAATGAAAGCAATATAGAATTAGATTAGTATGAAAATATGAAGGAAAGTTTTATAAAATTATGAGAAACTAAATGTGGAAACATCGTATAATAAGAAAATGTTGAAGATTATTAGAAATAAGAAACAAGAATATAAAGAAAATGGGAATACAGAAATTCCCTGAAGCAAGATCATTAGTAATGATCATAAGAAAATATAAGTAAGATAAAGAGTCTAGAAAAATAGGCAAAATATATAAAATGAGGTAATTTGCACATGAAATAGATAAAAACTAAGGCAAAATGATTTTTAAGAAAGAACATATATTTAATTATAAAAAAGAAATTTCTGTATACCCAAGGTGTATTATATATCTTAACAATAGAATAAATGAAGAAACATGAGTAAAAGATTAATTAATTTTTTTAACGCTCCGAACGTTGGTGTTTGTAATTAATGAGAAAGCAGATATAAATAATAAGTTCAGATTTCATAAATTAAATGAAATTAAATAATTTAAAAATAAATTAATATGAAAAATATGTAAAAAGCTGTAGGTACACAGGGAGAGAGAGAGAGAGAGAGAGAGAGAGAGAGAGAGAGAGAGAGACGGAATATGAGTGAGAGGGAGACAGTAAGGAGACAAGATTGATAAGAAATTTAAAAAAATGAAACATTAAATTTTAAATAGAATGAAAAATTTGAAAAATAAACATAAAAGTTTTTTTAATTACAATATAAGACAGGATTAAGACAATAATGTAATGGCAAGTAAAATCATATGGAATAAAAGAAATTCCATCATAAAATTTATATATTATGTTAAGAACAGAAGCAAATGTATATTTAATGAATTGATAATTAATAAAGAAACATGATAAATAATAAAAAACTAATATTAAGTTAAAAGAGAAAAAGTATTAATGAAATTTAGAAAAAAAATAACATTATTTTAATATTATATTATTAAAATATTTCTAATTCTAATATGAAGAGGTTATTTAAAGAAATAATTTTAAATATTTTAATGTACTGCCTGGGATTCAAAAATATTATAATATTTGAAAAATTTATATGATGAATAATTTTAAAATATGGGCATATACAAGTTCGCAAGTACTTGTATGAAATATAATCTGTAGTATAAACTGTAAGTAAAAGGCAATTGAATGAAAATAAATATATACAGTGTAATAAAAAAAAAACTATTCGCTAATTTAATATTCATTCGTTGAAGTATTTATATTGAAGTTTAAAAAGTCATGTATTCGAATGTATTTACATACATATGTGATGTTTTATCATATCAAATAGATACAATTCATTTCATTCGCTTGAAAATGTATGAATAATAAGTTCTGAGCATATTTATTAGAATTATATTAAAATTGCATTTGTATTATCAACGATTGATATTATATTTTATAAAGCATTTACATTTATAACACCGTAAAATAATGGAAACGCATGCTTTTATAGAAGTAGTAGTTTTGTAATGTGTAATTGATCAACTTTATATTTATTATAATTTTCTCATGAAGATAAATATAATAAATACATTGAAATTAAAATTTGTTTTTTCTAAATTCCATATTATGTAGAATTCTACTATTTTTTTTTGGTGTCATCAATGTTGCAATATGTATTTGAATTTTTGCATTTTTAAATTATATATATGAAATTTAAGAAGAGAAGTAAATTGTATCTTTTAATGGATGAAGCAAGCGACGGCTTAAGAATTGTCTTCATTACGATATAATCTACATTATTGTGCTGTTTGCATTAAAATAAATTTCTCACATTGTTTAATGATAATTATCACAATGAAAAATTTTCCATTGGCGTTGTGCAAAATTTAATAACCTTGAGGTAATGAATACAAACATTATTTGATGTATAATGTGTGAAATTAAAAGAAATTAATATAAATTTAAATATCGGCCAGTTTGACATTATTGTCATTAATTTATTTTAATCTACTTTTATATAATCATGATAACGTAAATTTTATAAATACATTAAAATATTATCTCTGTAAATCTCGATATTCATCGAGATATTCATATTCTTGCACATTGTAACTAATTACCAATTAGTAATATTTACTCAATTCGATAATAAAAGACTATAGAACTATTTTACATTTATTGTTAATAAAGCAATGAAATTTATATATGCAATTTTCTTAAATACCTTCTATTTCTGCATATAAATTATAATATAATAAATTTTTTATATTATTATTGTGCAAATTTGAAATGTTTCTATATTGTTCGCGAGTTCTATATTGTCAATGTGTTCTTGTGTTATTATGCTCGTTAATTAAGGCAAATTAATTTTCGGATTAAAGTACTTAAAAGTTTTTCAGTCATTGTGAAGTTTCCCTTTACGATTGCCAGTTTGCCCGCGTGAACCTTGAAAAATACTTTAAATTACACTTTCCAACGAATATATCCTCGATTATTTTAGCGATTGCCTGAAGCAAAATTAACGTAATTGTTTATATCCCTCGAACGAGTCAATTATCTTAAATGACATTAACACCCTCTTGCTTATGAGTATCCTATATATTTAATTAATTTTAATACACAGTTCGATTAATTGTAAAGGGAATAATGGTTCGAGTCCGCTAATTAGCACTTACCAGCGTAATCAGTGATTCCGTTAGCTTGTAAATATTGAACAGCTCGATGACCATAAACTGGGGCCAGTGCCCAGTTATAGCTCATGGTATAAAGGGGCGTCAAATTGGATGGATAAAAGAGTGCTCGTGGTTTTTGATGTTTTATATTATAGTCGTACCATATTCCGTCCTGCTCGTTCCATAGGATAGCCTCGATCGCCTCTCGGTATTTCTTGGCGATTCCCGTGTAGAGTTTCATTTTCTGGTTAAAAAAAGAAGCAATTAATTAACAAATGCTTGCAACTTGCTGCTTATCCCCTAATAAATTTACTTCCTTTCATTCATACTGCATTGCAGTATTAAATGCTTTGATCATTAATTCCCTATAATACGATTGCTATATAATAAAGTTTAAGCCTCTTTAGCAGTTTTACAAAATTCATAATAAATTTTTTGGTAACTTAAGGATTTTTCGTTTCAATATTTCAATATAAATAATTAATTTATATAGTATTGAGTCACACAGTATCCATTACTAATATTATATAACATAAAGCATTTGGATAAATGAGTGTATATCGTATAAACGTGTAAATTAATTACAAATGCATTCGCAATTACACATGTATGTGTGGAACTATATTATACTGCAAATGTTGCGGAAAACACGTACAGATAATTATATTATTCAATTTTTTAAATCAGTATTTATATTAATAAATAATACATTAATAATAAAAAAAAAAAAAATTTCGTATTACAAATGTAATATAATGTATAGTATACATGAGTTAAATGCCTATAAAAAATAATCAAACTATAGAATTTCGAGAATTTCAATATTTTATTTTGAAAAGGCGCTTCCTTTAAAGGTTTATGTAGTAATATTTCTTTAAAAGCATATATATGGTAAGATACTTTTAATATAAAATGTATAACTAATAAAAAGAGTTTATATTGATACATTGATATTTCCTTTAATCTTATTATGACTTGAAAAGATAATAAATATATATAATAACATTAAAAAAAAAAGATTTTATTACACACAACATATCTTCAAAAATATTTCTATAATATCATTGGGAAATGGTAAGAAATAATCTGTTACATAATTCCTTAAATATATTCATTCTATGTCACTATTGACTTTTATTTCTTATGAAACAGCGTCTCAATCCAAATGCCTAAACAAAGCAATTGATTATAAAAAACTAATATACTGCTATTTAAATTCAGCTTATAATATTCATTTTAAATTGTTTTTTTAATTTTGTAATTAAATATTTTATTTTATAAATAAATAATCAAAGTGTGAAATGCTAGGCATTTACAGTGTTACCTCATTGAACAGAATCAAAACAAATATAATAGACTATTTAATTCATTCCAAAGGTTAATTATAAAATATCATTTTCGTTCATTTCTTATATTACATTGAAATAAGATATTAATAATATTCTATCGAATAACAAACGTAAATCAATTTAAATATCAAATATACTCATTATTATATAACTTGTTTCTTCCAAGTTTACAAGAACTAATTATGAATTGTTTTAACATAAAAATTTAGTCGAAAGTATACAACTTTATAATTGCATATAATTAATTAATACTGGAGTAATATTAATTAATTGACGAAGTTTGTGATAACAATTAAATAAATTCTATTTAATTTTACATACTACCGTTGTAATCTTACATTACTCAAGTACATAAATGATTTGGTAAACAAATCCATGTAAAGTAATAAATTGCTATGGTAAATAACTCAATTATTCATTTAAAACAATAAATTTTACTAAATAACATATTCACAAAAACTTAATACAGTGAATTATAGTTTGAATTACAGATTATTCAATGTTTTATAAACAATTGAATTAACATATAATTGGATGACTGCTGTATAATTATACATTTGTGGGTAAAATTGTGTCAATGATAAATTAAAATATGCATTATAATTAATTGAAAAATATTAGAATTTTAATGAGAAGAGAAAAAAAAATTAATTTCTGCATTTAAATTACTATGGAAAGAAAAGTATTTTAATGTGGATGAACTTTCAGTCAATATAAAATAAAAATTAAAGAATTTCTGTCTAAATACTTAAATTTTTTTATTATTCATACACATTGCTTCAAGGGAAGTTAAGATTTTATGGATTATGTTCATAATGAAAACAATGAAATAATCATAAAGGATTAGCTTATAATTCTAACTCATTTCAATTTGGATATATTAAATCAGTCACCAGATTTTCATTTATATATATATATATATATATATTAAGTACACGTATGGTAGTAAAATTTACCGTCTCTCGATATTTATTACTACGTCTGATTTTAAAAAGCTATTATTTTGTTTTAATTTTTCTTTAAACGAGTGGTAATTGGTAGTGAAATTACAGGTATTTTCAAATGACGTAGGCACACGTATTCGCGACACGTATATTTGCTAGAAAATTCTAAAGATTTTTCTGTTTGAATGATTTGGTGAGATGAAATTCGAACTGGATCAAGAGGTTAAGGAGTACTTGGAATGGCGAGAAATTTACTGAAATTTGATTGTAGAGAAGACGGAAGGGTGAATACGTGTCAAAATGAAGGCTCTGAAGGTACCAGCAGCTTTTGCTCTCTTTTATTCAACGTTATAAAATATTAACTTTAATATAAATATAAGAAATAATTTTTTAATATATTGTGCATTGATTAGTATATCTTCAAATAATATTGGAATTAAAAGAAAGGAACGCAGTCAGCGTTCAAACTCAATTACGATGAATTAATAATCATTGTTAATTTGACGGAATTCATTCTCTTTTATAGTAATGCAAAAAAGAAGGTCTGTAAATATAATAGAAAATCTTTTGTGCATTTGGTTGTTACATGTAACAAATGGAAAAATAGAAAATCATAAAGATTTTTATAAATAGCTATATATAAAAATTGTACGAAAGAACGATTTATATAGAAACATTAAACGATAAGAAAGAGAAAGAGGGGGGAGAGATAGAGAGCAAGTTAGACAGAAAGAAAGATCAAGCACGAGAAAGAGATAGAGAGAGAGAGAGAGGGAGATTGATCGAAATAGAAATAGCATAAATAAAATAATTATCAATATGACGATACTTTGTTATATATATATATATATATATATATATATATATATATATAATTTAGCATAAAATTTTATATTATATAAATCAAGGACATATTTCAAGTTACTATAATTTAAATGTTTAACCATTATTCAAGATTGAATTTTCGTAAAATTTTACTCGAATTTATCAGAAGCTGTTTGTGTTTCACACAGATATACACATTTCATATGAGAAGAAAAACTTTTATATCCCGATATTTAAACATGTAAAAACAGTGACACATTTAAGTGGAATCATTTAGGTTTTTGCTAGTTAAATATATATCATTTCACGAAAATAAACAATAATTACAATATAATATCAGTAAATTTATTTAGAACAGTTGTTAATCCCTTGCTTAATTTTGTTAATAAAATTTATTTCATTGATTAAATAAAGCAAATAGATTACATCATTTGTATTATCTAAGATTTCATTATTCTCTCAAGTAAGAATATTTCATTTTTCACGAATGAAAATATAAATATAAAGATATAAAGATAAATATAAAGATAAATATCTATAATTAGACACATTAAAATAAAAATAAAAAGTGATTGCTTCATATATTTTGAATAAATATCTTTTAAAATATGACACTAATTTTTCAATATTAACTAATTGTACAATTATAGTATTATTGTAATCTTCCGTAGAGAATTAAAAGTTACTTTGAGTAAATCAAGTAAAATGAGTAATATAATTATGACATAAGAATTTTTATTACAAGAAAATGCATCGAAAGGAATTGAAAAATATGCTCTGTAGCATTAGACATTTATTAATTAATTGATTTTGATGTCACTTAGGCAAGCGCTCAAAAATTTCATTTTAATTAATTATTGAGAAATATTGTTTTACAAAGAAAAAAGAGTCATAATTCGTTTAAGAATATAACATAATTTTCATTAAAGATGAAGGGACATGTCAGAAATTTCAGTTGTATCAAACAAATGAGTACAAATAAGTAAGATTTTAATTATGTTTTAGGGATTAGTTATTGCGAACAGATTATCGAAAAGAATTATATCTTAAATTGAATTTTTCTTCATCTTCGTTCAATATTGAAGTTTGTAGTTTTTGAAAGACATTTGCACGTAAACAAGTTAATAGTAATCTAGAAAATATTACAATATCTAACTTCTTGAATAATTAAATATTAGATCTTTTCTATTCGCTTTAGTTTATTTGTATCGGAAATATTAACATTCTAATTAACAATCTATTTACAAGACGTATAGCTTTAGTATAAAATAAGAAATGTACATACGTAATTGCACCGATTAAAAAGATTATTTGTTGAAAGTGAAAGTATTTTTTAAACAGAAATTATTAAATTAGAAATAATTGTAAAGTTTTAGTATTAGTTTTGGTTTCATATGAATATTAGAACTTATTTCGCTTTTTATAATAAGTATTAATTTAATAAAGTTACTTAAGTAAATTTGGTGTAGATTTCAATTAATTTTTATGCATTTTAATTTGTATTTTAAATATTCTAATACTCGTAATAACATACTGTATAATAAATTAAATATACTGAAGTAATTTTTAATATAATATTTCATTTCATATCGAAAATTGTGTACACATATTACAAGGCTTTTACGATAAAAATAACATTTACCTTAAATTTGTTCGTTCTATTATATTCTTCTTAATGAAAAAGAAAAAGTTATCGACAGTTTCAAATGAAAAATTAAAAGAAAATTTTTAGCTTAAGTTTTAGTTGTTGGTTTTTTGTTTTCGTTTTAATGTTAAAAAGATAAGTCAAATTTGATTTGACAGCTAGATTAACTAAATTTATATTTAGTAATAATTTTCTTTTTTCTATAAATATAAAAAAATCATCAATTACTAATGGTTTATTAATATGTATAATACTCGTTATTCTAAAACATAGAAAAGTATTTTAAGTGCCAAGAATTTATAACATACCTATTTAAGATAAATAATGATCGTACCAATATAATGATCAAGCTACGGTGTTTAAATAATGAATCGATCATACTTATTCCTACTGGCAATCGATATCCGTCTTAATAGAAGAACGAAAATTGTTTAATCACAGCCTCCATTCATCATCAATTAGCCGCCACAAACAATGCATTAACCCATAATCTCTCCACCCTCGATGTAAATGCGTAAAGCACCAAATAGCTGAAGAACAATATCATCAATCCCTTACCATGGGGTTGTCCTTCTTTCGATAAAATCTAGCTAATATTCTTGCATTTCTTTCAAGGAAGGCATTGAGGTCCACCGGTAGGATGTCTTCGGTGGCGATGTCGGCGAGGTCGAGCGAGGCCTCACCATTCTTACCGACAAACCAACGCGCCGAAAAGTCCCAGCCGCTCTCCGCTCCCGCCTTCACATTGTTGTAGAATTTGCGTCTTTTAGAGTCCTCGCGAATATTCGTTGCTAGGAGATAGTCCTCCCTGAAGCAAAAGTCAAGAATATGAAGTAAACGCCGGTATTCGTGGATTAAAATTCTGATCCAATAGTTTCGTTTGGCTTTTAAATTGATTAATCTTAAGAGTTACGAACGTGGACAAAATTCTTTTTGGTTTTAAAGTCTATGTTCCCGTGGAAATGGAGTGAAAGTTAAATGGAAGGATCAAGGCACCAAGACTCGTGCTCTGTTTGTATAAAAACTTTGATTCGATAACTTTATGAAGCGCCTTGAAATTTAACAAGTGTATTTACATTATGACTTTTTTCTATATTTTTAGCGTACGAAGATTTTAGGGAAATGCGTATTTTTAAATTATCATGATTCGCACTATTTTAGATTAAATATTAAATATCCAAAGCATACACTCTAAGTAAATTAATAGTAATTATTTTTTTATTTGCAAAATAATGCGAAGTATGAATTGAAAGCTCGATTTCTTCAAAATTCTTTCTAAAAAATGTAAAGAAAATACAAATAGATTTTTAGTTAATCGAAGTCCTATTAAGATTGTAACTGGTGACTTACCGATAACTTTCCGGACGCGGACCTTCACTATTAGTAACATAACGTGCCAGCACGTATTCTCGGCCGTTTTTAATCACCTTAATAGATTTATAACGCTGCCAAAAGTTGAATTCTTTCTCCAAAGTAGCCAAGTTCTTATCTACAAAGTCCCAATCTTTTGTAACTTCATAATACTTGTCCACCTACACGTGAATAGAGAACATTAATGTAAGCTTGCTTTGGTGAACTTAATGAAGGTAGATTCAAACGATCAATATCAGAGCTTCGAGAAGTAGAAGTTTTTCCTTTCACGGAATCTGATTCTCTTCAAAGTTCATGACTTTTATGAAGTTCCACGATTTATTTGAAATTTATGTAACTGTATTTAAATTTTTGGTGTATTGCAACTTGCAAATCTTCTAATGTTACAATAGAGCGTACAATTAATTATTCATAAGATTATTTGCAATATCCAGACGATGAAAGGTCTTTGCGCAAATAAAACTACTTAATGAAAAAATAAAAGCTAATAAATAGTAAATCATAGAAAAATGGTTATAAAACAATGTGTCAAATATATCTTGCTTAACATTATTATTATGAATAATAATTAGTTATACATAATAATAGCTTAATGTATATATATATATATATATATATATATATATATAATATATTATATTATTATAGCTTAGTTGTAATGTATATTGTACCGTTAGTTTTTATTTAGGATGGTAAATTATAATTGTAAAATATTTGCCATTAAAGTTGCTATTCTTTTTCCTAATATCAATGCCATCGCTATCGAACTCTGATAAATAGAGAAGAGGAAGAAAATTAAGTATATATAGATCTATCTGATTTCATGAAATGTTAAAAATACTCTTTTGTACACTTTTTGTAATATACACACCATAGAAATTAGTAGTGGAGGTTGACTTCTCATAAGATAGTAAACTCGACCGCCGTTTGGTATGAAACCGTAGGTTTTAACTATCGATAGGAAATTATCAATGATTCCCTTTGTAGTTTTCTGCATATCGCTCAACAGTAAGCCCTCGATCACCCAGTAACTATCCCAATAGTAGAATTCTAAAAATATTTCAATACAGATTAATGTTCATTCAATTTGTACAGACAATATTCTATAATTAATTTATAATGTAAAATGTACATTTCATTCGACAATTTAATAATACGCTTTTATGTAATAATTATTACAATAAGCATTGACATTCTTACAACCCTGAATGCGTTGAAAATAAATTCTAGTACCTGCGTGTCTGTTTCATTTTATTATCATTAGTAAGATTAAAAGGCCCAATAATTGTGTAAATTTTTATCATTCACTTATCAATTGGGCGTTTAATAATGCTGCGAAAATGACAATCCGACGAAATAGAACATTTAGTTGCAAACGAATAGAAAATTAATAAGACCTGTTGTCTCGTCCTACAATTGGAGTTAAAATTATCGTAATTACATAGAAGGTAAAGTGTTTGACAATTGTAATGGGAAGCTGTTTTAGCTGGCGAAACGAGTACTTCGGAATATCGAGAGGTAACTCGCACTCAGGTCTCACCTTTAAATCGTCCACCGGGAATGACGAAGGTGTTGTTAACGTAGATGAGGCTGTGCCTGTTGGGATTATCCCTAACATCGGTGGTCATTCGCCTAGCCAAACTTTTCCAGATCTCGTTGAGATTGGCCGCCCATTCCCGGTATTTCGCGTCTCTTATACGCCCGAGAATCTTTGGCTTGGGCCGCCAATCTAGCAAAGTGGCGTTCAGCAGCTCGTTCGTCTCGAGGAAATTCTCCTCCACGAATTTCCTCACGTCCTCTTTGCTCGGGCTGTTGTCCGTCGCTTTCATCAAAGCCTCGAAACTGTCGATCGAGCAAGTGAGCGTAACGTTAGGACTCTCGGGACAAAGTTTTCGTTCTGATTGAATGAGATTTCGGATATACTAGCGAATACGAAATAAACGTGACATTTGGTCAGTTATTTAGTAGTGCTGGCACGATATGGCATGCGATTGTTTATTACGTATATACGGATAACGGCTTTATGTTAATGAATTGATTACACGTAGTTTTCAAACTTGCGTTGTGTCAGATCAAAACGTTAGTATACGAGTTTAATGAATTTATAAGAATAATACTTATTTACGTTGCTAATTAATTAAGAAATATAATATAGGTGCGCGATATTATATAATTTGCAAACTAATCGAATTAATATGATTAAGATTGATATTGTAAATAAAAATAGTTAATCCTTAATATTGTTACTTTCGTTTATTTTTTTCTTATTCGTGTTTAAAAAATCTCGTGATTGATGATTTGCTTGATAACGATACAAGTTCTATACACGTCTTTCCTCATTTGAATATATGTGATTTACATTATTCTGTCACAATAAAACGATAATATAAATAATTATACGTACAATAATAAGGACCAAGTAAAATCGTATCTAAACTTTTCAATTCTCGTTATTTACAATAATCTACACATGTGCAATTTAGAGTTACGTTACGAGGATCTTATAGCAGTACAAAAATCAAGTATTTTCAACATACAGTTATATCATGTTATTTTTATTTTTATCGGTTTTATGGTTTGGTTTGTTTGCTCTATTTTCTACTTACTTCGCGATTGTAATGTTTTCATCATTCTTCTGGTAAAGATCGACAAAAGTCTTGCTGTCTTTGTAAATGGCTGCCATTTGAACAGTTTTAAGTAGTTCACCTTGACAATATACCGGACTAGAATAACAGAAAATATCTTAACTTATTAAAGGTGAATTAATTAATAATATGAAATATTAATATATTATACAATGTATTATATATTTTTAATTATGATAATACATAGAGAAATTTTATAGAACCCTTGTAAACAATGTGCTATCCGACATCTGATTATATGATTTAATTTACAAAAGAATTAAAGGAAGTCAATAACATGCTGTAAGGTCATTGTGATATTATTTATGTTTATTAATGTTATTATTATTTGCAAGGTCATTATATGTTTCAAACTCATTTGTTCGCTAATACATTGGTTTTTATTATAAAACTGCTAATTTTTTGCTTTGTTCGTCAATGATCTATATAATGTTTTATAATATTTTTCATAATATTTTTCTACTATATATATATATATATATATATATAGATAGATATCTGTAGAATATTGCTTTTCATCCATATTTATAATTAATAGAAATTTATTTTACAACAAATTTCTAGATGAAATTTAGAAATCCTTTAATGAGTTCTATGAAAGATTATTTATTATCGATATTACTACTTAGTTTTGCCACTTCAACTAAATACCAAAATGGAATATATTTATTGCTTTTTTTAAACATTTAACATATATACATGGATTTGTTAACTACGTGATAAAACTTCGTATCATTTATTGTATTACAATACACGTCCACCAAGATATTTTAATTTATATTATGTGCCATTAAAAATATTTAACAAACATTTGAATTGAAATTCAGACTTAAAAATACATGTAAAGTAAATAAAAAAAAAAACATTGTAAACACAAAATAACAAGACAATTTATTCTATACAAAAATATTTTAAATTAAGGAATCAGCTGTAAAAACAATCGTGCATTTAATGTTACGCAATATTATATGTTACGGAGTTAACTAAAATATATTATATTTGTTTCGTTTTAAAATTAAATTAATAATCTGATAGCAAAAAATATTGAAAATTGTATTTTGTATTTCTATATACTGTATTATTATTATTATTATTATTATTATTAATAATATTATTATTATTATTATTATTAATATTATTATTATTATTATTATTATTATTATTATTAAATAATTGTGCAAATTACGTTTTTATAGAAGGATGTACAATATTCTTGCATGAAGAACTTCCAAAGGGACCCAGAATTTCGGAGGCATATTCAATTTTGCAGTATGTCAATAATAATATAATATAACCTTTGACTTCGGTAGAATCTACCTATATTCTATTATTCATGTATGAATAGACATTATTGAAGTTTTCTTAAAGTTAGGCATATTTACTAGATTTCGAATAAATATCTTCAAATTTAATAACATCATTGTACTTTTAATTTTTCCTTATTACCCTATTAGTATTTTGCACTACCGATTCTTTTGAAACATACATTGAAAATTATTTTTCCATGTGACAAATATCTGGAAATTCACTCGAAATTAAAGTTTCGATTTATTTACATTTTATTCATTATACTTCTATCAAAATATAAAACTTTTTATTGGTATTTTTGATTATTTTATCGATCGGGCAATATTCTATCATAATTTTAATGGATCGTTAAACTGTAATATTACTTATTCTAAAAATTTGTATTAAATCCCTTTGGCCGTTAAACTTGATATTATTGAATTTTAAAGTACCAGTCGACTTATTCAGATTAGTATAATAATATTGTTTTATCGTGAAAAGAATCGTAAGGGTCGTATGATAATAATATTTTATTTACATTCTTTGCTCAACAATTTTCGTTAATAAAAAATTGATTAATTTCAAATATTTAACAAACTATTGATTTGCAAAAAAATAGTTTTACTTTCTACAGACAAATACTGAAATAAGAAAAAGGGATGGCAGAGAGAGAGAGAGAGAGAGAGAGAGAGAGAGAGAGAGAGAGAAACAGAGAGAGAGAGAAATGAAATAAGAAACACTAAAATCGTAACATTTATCTATTTGCAAAAGAAGATATTCTCTGAAACATTGTCCCAATTAGAAAATCTAACAAGTAAGCGCATAAACTATCGGGAAAACTTATCTCAGTTGGCGCGATGTTGGCTCGTTTGAGGGTAAAATCATTTTAGGAGTGGCTGAGGTAACAAGACATCCATCGGTCATTCCTTTTAAACATATTCCGCTTCGTTAAGAGCTACTTCTTGGAGGTTTGGATTGATTCTCAAAAGGGGGAAAAACAAGGTTACAATGTTGAAGAGAGAGAGAGAGAGTGAGAGAGAGAGAGAGAGAGTGTGTGTCGTGTGGAAGTAAGATATGAATAGACAAATGTTATGTGCGCGTAAAATTTTCCCCTTTCAGATTCGCTGAGAAGCTCAATATGTATATGCCAGCTAGTTGAGCTGCTTCGTTTCGAGTCTGCAAAGTTTATAGTATTAATACCTTAACGATTAACAGTTTAGGACGTGAAATAATTAGATTACATGTGAAATGGAAAAAGTTAGAATTGCGGTCAAGCTGTATTAGGACGAACATTGGTGACCGCCTCAAATGTGGTCAAGAAAAAAAAGAAAAAAGAGAGAGATCGATGTTGAGCACCTGAACATTCTTGCCACTTCCAATTTGTAATGGGATTAATCGAGATAGAAGACGAGTTAAGACACCAGCAATAGAGAAAAAATAAAAGATTCGTCCGACATTGTAATCTGTGAATACGAATTGTTTTTTCAGCAAAGGGTTTTATTTTTCATGATGTAGAATATTTTCCCTAACGCCTCATTCACTGTATAATTTGGCCTTTTTGAGACTGAGTAAAAGATTACGACTGCATAATCCTGAATATAAATTTTTTATATATTTTTTTTCATTACTACTTCTGATAGAAATGAATGTATTGCGATATGCATCAAGATATCGAGGAAAAGTATTTTTATACGATTCGGTTCTAATTCAGTTTTATGTTCGGTTATATTTAATATTTTCGCCTTATACTCAATTATGTAGACTTAAAAAGATTCATGTATGTCGAATAAGTCACAATTGTGCTAGAGAATACGGGAGAAAGAGGGTAAGATAGAGAGAGAGAGAGAGAGAGAGAGAGAGAGAGAGAGAATGTATACAGTCAGCTGAAAATTTAATTGATTCATTTAGTTTGAATACGATGGATGCTAGGAAATTTGCTGGTATCACTCAAACTTAAAAAAAGGCCCTTTGATGTTCTAGAACAATTGGATTCCGTCTAGTAAGGAGTAATATTGTCGACGTCAGGTCATTTCGAGTCAATAGCCAGCACATCTTGCCGGGAAGAAGCATAGGTGGAAAGCCAGACTTTTCATTTTCTTTGACCCTTTGCAATGAACTATTCTAGGATAGAATACTTTGAGTAACCGGACACTAAAAAGTCGGTAGAAAGTTGTCACCGATCTTCACTGCTGGTTAATTGACCACTTCAAATGTCCCTATTATGATAGTGTAGAATACGCTTGTTAATTTTTAATTCGTCCTTCTTAGAGTAAAGAGAGAAATATATCTTTTTATTGACTATAGTTTTTTAAGGATACGATCTTTAATGAATTTGAAAAGGAATGAATTTTAGTGGTTATTTTCATTCGTTTGAAAAATTATAATCCAATTAAATTTTCACTATTTGAAGATCGTAAATTATTATCTTTAACGCTGCTTAAATATTAAATATCAATATTTTTAAGCAAAAAAGAGCTGTAATTCAAATGGATATTAAAATGTGAATTATCTATTTGTTCCAAATAGAATACTCATATGCTTCTTTATTAACCGATAATATATTTCACTAATCCACGCTTCCTTCATAGAAATAGTAATACAGAGTTTTTAGAGATATTTCAATTTGTGCAAAAAAAATCGTATATTTTTTTGGAACATAACATTTATCTTAATATACCATGTATATTTGAAATCATGAATCTGTAACGAGAAACGTATAGTTTATTAAACATACGGAAGTTGAAATATGTCTAAAACTATTTCAGGCATACTTGATACATACGCATACGTAAAATGGCAATATTTCATAAATAAAAAAAATATTTGAAAGATAAATAATTTAATTATGTTATTATAATTAATTAACATAATGTCGCATAAAAATAATATAACATAATTTATAAATATAATATCATATAAAAATACAATCTTATTTTTCATTTCATTTTGAAATTTAAATATTAACGTTCACAATGATAAATTGCCGTGTCATAAGAATTTACCTTCAGTTTCTTTCTATTAATATATTTTCTGTGTGATTCATATGTAATATTGTAGGTCTTATTTATTCTTTTGTATGATTGAAAATATAACATTTTTTTATTTGTTATAATGAGTTATTTTATTCGTCTATTGTTAAATTGATATTATTCTCACTATTAGTATCAACTGATATCTCATCAGTTATCTCACTATCAATAAAAAAATCATGAGAAATGAATATTATTAGAACAGTTAAAATCGTGTACAATGTCCATCAATTTTATTGTAATATTTGACATTACTTATAACAATTATAAATTACATGCTTACTATATGATTATATCATTCATGTTATTTTTCGTAGTATATTTTACATATTTTTTTTGAGCATTAAATCAGTAAATTTCATTTCAAATGTATATTATTACAATTTGAGAAAAATTTTGAATAACTTATCGATATAATCAAATGTTGATCAATTGTATAAATAAATTTTCTACAATTGTATGCATAAATCTCATACAATATATTATAATATTTCCTAATTTCATCATTTTATAAATGAATTAACTAAATTATTCATTAACATTAAATATTAAATTATATTATATATTATATTAATGTTTTTTCATTCTTAATATGTCATTTTACCTCAAGTATGTCCGGCTGAAAAAAAAAGTTTAAAGTATATTTATTCACCTTTATATTTCCGGGATATGCAAATGTGACATCTTACGATATTAATATGTGAAAAATAGTAAACAGTAACATATTATTTCAATTGTTTTCATCAAAACATATTAAAAATA